TTAGAGCATAAAGGTAGAATTAGATAGTAAAATTTTGTGGATTGTAATATTTTCCATAATTTTATTAATAAAATTATGGAAAATATTAAAATCCACAAAATTATATTAATTAAATCTACCTTAATGCTCTAAGTAAACTGGTTCTACGCATAAAAATACATCATATCGGCATACATTTATCTTATAATTTTAAATTTTAAGAAAAAAGATGCTTAATTTTGAATTTTTGATCAAAATTTCATAATTAAGCATCTTTTTTTTAAAAATTTAAAGCTATAAGGTAAATGTATACTGATGTGGTGTATTTTGCTTCGGACTCACACCGGTTTCCAGTTTCTAGTTTATTAATAAAAATGTTCTACATACCCTCTACCCTTAAGCAAGAAAAGTGATTAACTTAGTATAAAAAAAAGTTTATCTTAGGCGAACACCATATTCATACTATAGTAAATTTATAGTAATCTGAGTCATATTTTATTAAGATCATGCTTCAGTTAACTAGAGAATCATCAATTAATCTATTTGAAGAAGTTTTTCCTGGGCCAAATAAACATACTTTATCGAAAGTTAGCTGAGAGTATTTTTTTATAAAAATTACTAGCTTAGTTTTAAATATATAATTCTGTAATTTTTAAAGTTCATATTGTTGTAAAACAGGTTTTTACAATGTAATGTAGTTTAGTGTAGTTGATATTTTATAATTTATATTTTTATAGTTTATTTATATTTTATATTATTTAGTTATATTTATTATATTGTATTTTATATTAGATAGTTATTATTTATTATATATATTAATATTAGTATTTAAAAGAGAGTTAAAGCCACTGTGGCACATAATGTAGCTAAAGTTGTATATGACTCTCAAGTCTCTCGACTATACCTTCAAGTCCCTCAACACAGTCTCCATCTCCTTCAACTCCCTTTACTCCCTTAACACGGTCTTCAACTCCCTCAACACAGCCTTCTACTCTCTCAAGTATGTTCTTCAACTCCCTCAAGTACAATGTTACATTACTCTTAATTCTCTCTTCTATTCTGTAAAAGGTATATAAAGAGAGCCTTAATCCCTTCTTGTAAAAATAGATATTTACAGACCTTAATTAGGTATCTCTAGGTTAATATAGGTTTTTAACAAGTATCTAGTTAGAAACTATTACCTCTTGCTTATGTAGAATTAGTCTTGTAATTCTCTCTTGTAATGTATAACTTTCTTTAGGATCTTTAAAGAAGGTTATTCTCTTGTCCTATAATAAATAAAGGTTAAAATACACTATCCTAATACCGAACTGCTTACCTTCTGCTGTGGATACTTAATTGTACTTCACATCCACCTCGTGTATATTCCAGTAGCAGAATCCCTGCACCGGGTAACCTTGTTATTGTGCTATATGGTTACAAAGAAGGCCATAGCATTGTAACAATATCTTGTCCGACAAACTAAACATATTTATATTTATTATAGTAAGCAAGATGAAAGTGTTATATAGAGATATTAATTGGTAAAGAACTTTTGAGCGCTGTTTTATTTGATTTTAGTTTTTCATTAGTATATACAAACAATTATGATTTGAATTTGATTTTACTATTGTTATTGTAAAACAGTTTTTTTTTTTCATTCAAAATTTTTTATAAGTATTAAATATTTGAAATCATTGGGCTGAATTGGGAAAAATCTAAACAGAAAAAGTGACTAGTTAAAAAAACGAATTAGTAAATTCAATTTTAAATTTGGGTTTGCCGATTGAGAAGAAAAATGTTGTTCAAATAAGCAAAAATAGATTTATTTGAAAGGGTAAATATATACATCGCCTCGCGCAAAATGATTAATCATTGCCCAATCTATAGTAATATAATGTTGTATTACCGTATATTATTAGGCGATACCAAAATATCATCACCATTGATAGTTATATATCACTGTACTACTATATGATATCAAAATATCATCGCCTATAACAGTTTACATTATTTTAATGTATCAGGTGATATTGTATATATGTACGTACGTCATTATGCGATGCCAAAATATTATCACCACTGACAGTTTACATTACTATGTGATCTATATGATGCCAAAATATCATCGCCTATATATTTTATTATATCAGGTACTACTGTACATATGTACTACGTCATTATGCGATGCCAAAATATTATCACCACTGACAGTTTACATTACTATGCGATGTACATGATCAATCACATACCAAACAAAGATCAAAACTTATAGTCTAAATCATAATTTCAATAATAAATCTGTTTGATATACAATCAATCATGTATATTGCATAGTGATTGATGTAAGATCCAAAATTTAGTAATTCTTAGATCTTTCTTTTTTTCATTGCTTTCATTGGTTTAATCAATTCTTTTTTCATTACTTCGTTAATACTCACCTAAAAAAACAACGTTAATAACATGGAACTACAAGAAACTACAATAGATACAACAGATATTCTAGACTATTATCTAGAAGAATTAGCAGAAATGGAACAATACTTTTGCTTCGATGAAAAAATTGCTGAATATTCCACTCAAGTATCATCCACCAACAAAGGCAAAGAAGGTAAGGAGGCACCAGCTGAACAAATTTATGTTGATTCTGAGGAATATAAAGATGACAACATGCTGGTCAATATAAATAATAGAACTATAGTAGCTTCAGAAGATATATCTAAAGATGCAATATTCAATTCTTGGTTAGAGGTTAAAACTTTTTTTGAAAACGAAATGGATTCACAGTGATTAAATATCACGTGAGGAAAGATAAAAGTGGTTTGGTTTATAAACGGACATTCACATATGAATTTGGAGGGAAATACAGTCCTAATAAGAATCAAACTGCTGTTCAAAAAAGTAAGCAAAAAACCACTAAAACAAAAAAGATTGACTGCCATTGGCATATAAATCTTTCTTATAGAGAAAATAGAACCAATATATTCGTTACTATGTTTATAAATGAGCACAATCATAATATTAATTTTGACACTCAAGAGTTTCGATCTAAATATCATTCTCTAAATGAAGACACTTTAAAAGAAGTTGAAATCATGACAAAGCATGGAAATTTATCTATTACAGCACAACAAAATATATTAAAGAGACGTTTTTCTGATTTGTATTTTCATGATAGTGACCTTAATAATGCTATCCAGAATTTTAAAAGAAAAGAAAAGAATAATGAAACAAATGACGTGTCAAACCTACTCAATTCTTTATTAGCTAACAAGATGAATGATCCTAGATGGTCTGTAGAATTTGAATTGGATGAGGATAATAGGCTTATGTGGTTGTTTTGGATATCACTCAAGCAAATTAACCTGTGGTTAAAATATAATGATGTAGTTATTAGTGATAACACAGCCAAAACTAATCAATATCAAATGGCCTTAGGGCTATTTGTAATTATTGATAACAATGGGAGAACACAGCTTGTTTTTCAGGTTTTAATAAGCAATAAAACACTCGATACTTATACTTGGATTCTTAATTGTATAAAAAACACCACACAAATGGAGCCCTTGGTTATTTTTACTAATGCAGATTCGGCCCTTGATAGTGCAATTCGTATTGCTTTTCCAAATTCATATGCTACACACTGTATCTTCCATATTAGTCAGAATTTACCTAAAAATCTTAAATCAAAAATAGGTGACAAATGGGAAGATTTTATAAAGACCTTTTACCAGTATCATAATAGTCTCTGTGAGCCGCTTTTTCAACTGTGTTGGAATAAAATGTTTAATAAGTATCCAATGGCGAAGGATTATTTGTTGCGTGTTTTATATTCATGCAGTTAGTCTTGGGTATGTGCCTATCTGTCAAAAATATTCACAGCTGGAATTGAAAATACAGCACAAGTTGAATCTTATAATTAGATCATTAAAAAAGAAATTAAAGCAAATTGCACTTTATGTGAACTTGCAAGTCATCTTGATCAACGCCTAAAAGCAGAAACTCAATGGAACAGATTTCACCAATACAAAGATTCAACAACATTACCCACCATACCTGCCACAGGACATGATCTATTTCCAGCTGTGACAAAAATTACTGACCAATATCTTACAGAAGCCATTAACAATATGACTAAGGCTGAGATGGCACAATGCTTGTTTCTTACAGCAAACAGAATTGAGCTGACAGTTGATAAACTTAATTCTAAACAGGAAGTCGACAAAGAAGTTTCATGTGGGTTCCTTGAAGATAATTATAATGCAAGGAAAATTACTCTTCAGGCTATGATAGAAGAAGTAGGAAGCGAAAATATAAAAGAAATATGAAAAGTTTCTGATTTTCATAGCGAAAAAAAACATTATACATATTTTCTAGTCATTGTAAACCAAATATCATTCCTATGCTTATGTCTTTTAACTATTTCTAGAGGACTTGTTTGCTGTCATTATTTTCGTATAATGATACATTCTAGAATTGCAGCCTTTCATATTTCAATAGTTCCCTTACGATAGTACAAAGACTCTTACTAGGAAAATCAACTATATAAAGATGAGGCTATTATTTTCAATCATGAAAAGAGTATTATTGATGAAGAGTGTTATGGAGAGATTTTTTAAACCAAAGACAATCAACAGTTTCTAGGATTACGACCACAAAAAAGACTCTACAAAAAAGAACTCATTATAGTAAAATTTGGAAGTTAGCTCGTGAAGCGACACTATTAGCAGTAGATATTGGTGATAATGAAATTATAAATATTCTTCAAACTTATATCACGAGAAAAAAAAATGAAAAAAATACATATTAGGACGAGACACAGAACAAAGCGAAGGAAAGTAGATCTTTACAAAAGCTTTCTAAATCTACAAATATTAACGTTATGAATGAAGATCAGGTCACACTAGAGAAACCAGAAGAAGAAGATTATACTGACAGTGATAATGATTGTTACACTGATAATGCAATGCCTGATAAAGAAGTAACTAGTATCAAGGTTTCACAAAATATTCAAAATCCTGCCCGCGTTATTGGAAGAGGAAGACCGTCTAAACGTCGTTATATGAGTAGTATAGAAAAGGAACAAAGTTATAGAAGAACTTCTAGAGGTATATATAAGTGTCGTCAATGCGGAGAAGTAGATCATAACTCAGCATATCATAAATGAAAAAGAACAGAGGAAGACAAATAATTAGTTAATTCGTCTAGCAGTATTTGCTTAATGGTACTATACTTAATATATATAATAATGCAAATCTTGAATATTGCATATAACAGATTCAAATTTCAAGGCTAGGCCATTATTAACATTGGCAAACAAAAGCATATTATAGTAACGATTGTTAAATAAATTTACAGCTTGCACTATGTATAATATTGAAGTACTTATTGAGGATTTATATAAAAAAACTATTAATACTGGCCTAGCCTATCATAATGTATTCAGAAATTCGAATAGATAAGTGTTGGTTTTGGTTGATTTTGGTAACTTATCTATTTAGTTATTGAGCTTTACTTGTATGATTTACCTTGTACGTACGGTGCAGAAAATCTAAAAACTTTAATTACTTTATATAAATAAAGGTTAACTAACATATTGAAAGTAAACTTCTCAATAGCATATTATTTGCATATATACTGTATTGTTTTTTTGCTTATTTCTCTATTGAAAGAAATTTCCTTTGCTTATCAAAATTAATAATTTAGGAAATTTATTTCCGATATGCTATTGAGATTTTTAAATTTCCTGCACCGTACATATATACGATTATACATAATAGGCGAATAAGCTACGTAATATTCAAGAGTTGCTAATTAAACTACCTAAACCCGAATTATATTATAGTACTTATAGTTTTAAAATATATAATACTAATTCGAAGCAATAATATATATTATATATGGCGATAAATAATATTCATCACTCCCTAAGTATAAAAAATATATAGCGATAAATAATTATATCGCCCCCTAGGTGCGAAAAATATTTGTTTCACATGATGCGATGTCTAATTAAGTCCTAGTTTATATACCGAGTTGGTGAAAAGTAACTGAACAGTGACCTTTTTTTAATCACTATGATTATCATTTTAACGTTTAGTAACTATTGCAATAAATTGATAAAAATTGTTATTTATTGAAACATTAAATTGATAACCATTATTGGTTAAAAAAGGTCACTGTCCAGTTACTTTTCACCAACCTGGTATATAAAAGTCAAAAAAATTACTAAGCTAATCGACTTTTATATATTAGTAAAAGTTGTTCGGCATGCTAAAAAAACATTAATCCTAAAATTTTGTCAAAATTGTATTAATCCACTTTTTACTTTATGATTGCACAGAAAATTTGTTTTTTTTTTGCCAAATCATAAAATAAAAAAGTGAATTAGTAAAATTTTGCCCAAATTTTATGAAAATTTTAGAATAAATATATTTCATCATGCCAAAAACTTTTATTAATGCACAAAGTCAATAGCTTAATAAAGTTATATATAACAATTATTTGCTTCGTGATCGTATAAAAATATTTTTGCTAATAAAAATTTCAAAACTCTAAAAAAGTGTGATAGTGATTATAAGCTAATTATGATCATACGAAGGTATATATTTTAAATATAAAAAATTTTATGTAATCATATGTATCCAACAGATAATGGATCCCAGCACTAAACTAGCATCCTCATGCTGAATGGTCTTACCATAGATATTAATTTTTTCCTTTCATTATTAATCAGACTTTTTAGGAGCTGAATCCATTAAGTTATAAACTCAAAAGCAAAGCCTGGTTTTTTTTCTTGGTTGTTTATACACTCCTATAGATGAGCTAATTAGAATGCTTTTAACGGTAACAGACATGCCATAGAGCTTTAATAGTATATATATTTTTGTTTTTTTTAAAGGTTGACACTATTGATTAAAATGAGACATACATTTGGATTTTTGACTTGAACCCAAATTAAGTAGAAATCCCATAGTAATATCATAACTCAAAAAAATGATTTGGGCCACAACCCTAGTGGTCTCATAGTTTTATTGATTAATTATCAATATAAAAAAAGATAATTAAACTTAATCTTAGTGGATTGTAACACTAATTAATTTTTTAAAAAACCACCATGCCAACCCATATATAAAAAACAAATATAACAAAAAAAGATAATAATAATAATAATAAATAATAATAAATAAAAATAATTTTTGAAAAGTAAAAATTATCTCCAAAAAGAAATTACATAATGCTTTTTAAACCATAATATACATATATGTTAGGAGATATGTATATTAACTATAATATATAATTTACATATTAAGAAGAAATGAATATGCGATAATTTAGGTTCATCATCTATTCATCTTTTTTTTTAAAATTATAAGTTATATAAATTATCATAAATAAATATCAATAATGATAAAATTAATTTAGTGATCACACTTGATTGGTTAGCATTAGGAGACTACCGAGAATTGGTAATGGGTCTTTAAATATAAACTGAAATTCCACAGAGTTTTTTTTTTAAAGTAAACCAAACAGTCAAATCTTGAATGTCTTTCAGATAGTTCTAATATGGTAAGCACATAGTATAGATAGGCTGTTTTGCTATTTTTAATATGTTTAATCCTAGTTCCAGAAAATAAAACTCAGAGGCATATTACATTAGTTCAAAAAACTTATATTTGGTCTGTTTTGTACTCTTATAATTATTTTAGTTTAATATTTCAGATTGTCTTATAATATAGCTATATAGATAATTTTAAATTATACCTATTTAGCAGCAGCTAATATTTAAAATATCTCATCCTTTGGTTGATTAACAAGACAAAGAAAACAGTGACAGTGAGGAATATTGGTGATGTGTGATTAATTAACAAGATGAAGGTTAAGTGCATCTATTCTTTTAAATTTTCTATCTATAAAATTATTTATATATAATAGAAAATAATCTTAGAAAATTTAATTATATTATATTTTTAGTTATGTAGTGGAGTTAGGTTTCATAGCCTAGTGGTCTAGGTGCCTAACCCTCCACAGACAAGGTTGATGGTTTGATTATAGCTGGTGGTAATTAATTTAATTAATTATCTCTGTAACCTTCAGAAGCTTTCGAATGCAGAACCCTGTAGCAGTAAGACCATGTAATATATATATTTGGCCTAAAAGAATTCTTGGAAGGAGCCCCAAGCCAAGGAGAAGACTGGGCACTGCATGTGACATGAGTCACAGAAGGTCTATTGCAGAAGGCTGTATGTATAAATCTATGATTAGCAAGGTAGCACCAACAACCCTAAGGTGGCATTGAAATCATGAATAGAAGGATGGCTATATACAGTATTTCTAAAAGTGGTGAGAGAAGTGGTAAACATAGTAAGGGGCTGTGATAAAAGGATGGCTTTACCAAATATAGAACACCTCTGGCACAAAGAAACAAGGAAAACTGGCTAAAAAAAACTCTGAAAAGCATGGAAACAAGTGATCTGGTAGTACAAAAATAAAGACGACTAGGGAGTAATGTGTCACACACCCATATGAAAGTCAATGACAAATATAGCAAAAGCGCAGGTTCTGGGTCACTAGCTTGTAACAGTGATTAAATGAGGTATATAACTCCTATCCTAAGGATCTAGACTTCTGTAACACCATACCGATAGAGAGTACTATAAAAGAAATGGTGGCCTAATTTGGTGATGTATGATGTGAATATCTAGATCGACATAAAATAATGTCCTAGTTTTGCACAGACAACTGTTGAAATATGTCTAGGCCCTTAAAGTAGCTTCCCAGAGACACCAGACTAGAAGCATGAAGTGTGCCTACTCGAAAGACACCAATTTGGAAGTAATACAAAACCTGAATTAGAAGTAATATAATAAGTGATAAGGGGTGGAAGTTAGTTGGTAGGCATTGTACAGTAGTATATAAGTGGGATATATATGATAAAATAGATTTGGGTTTAGAAACCATCTAGTGAGTTTGAAACTGGCCTGTTGCAGGATGATTAATAAGAAAGTAAAATCTCATATAGCAGGTCGCACATAGGTACTCAAATTAGTAACCAGGTGAGCTGATACTGTATATACTAGATAGTTGTAATTGTACTCGTAACACTTGTAACCAAAAATACCTTAGTATAAATCTAATAAACAGTAGAGGCAAGACTGCTAAATTAAAAAAAAAGTTATAGTAGTGAACTTTTTATCTAACGCTGTTTAAATTGGCATCAGTATTTCAAGGTCATACAAAAGAAATTATATATATAAAATTGTTTGTGTACTATGTTTTTAAGACTATAACTATATATTGAGTTATATTCTTTATTTAACAATTTTTTTTATCTCTATACATATATACATGCATGCAACATATATGGGTTATTTGAATCATATATTGGTGCTAACTTTTTAGAGCAAGCAGAGCTGAAAAATAGTTGGCACAACATCTACACCACAACTTGGTGTATATAAAAAATATTACTAACTGCTACTGGTTAGGTAAAATATAAATAGCGAGCCGAACAAAAAATTTCGAATGCTATTTCTAGAAGCCTACATATTATCAAATAATGAAGAAGATATAATAAAGTTTAATAAAAAAAATATATTCTCTTTTGTTTCTAGTGAAAACTTTTGTATAAGTTATTCAATAACTCTCTTATTAAATATTACTACTCCTACTATATTAATTATTACAATAATTATAGAACTGTATTGTTCTATTTTATTATTATAGAAGGTGAAAGCATTAAGCCTAGGGATTGAAACTGCTTAAAATTTTTTTAACCATTTAATCGTTTAACTATATTAACTTTTTTATTTAGCTAGCATTAAAAATAACCTAGCTCATAATTAACATAATTTGTCCCGGTATTATAAAAATTTTTTATATAATAGTTATAATCCCTAATTTAGCCATGCTCTTGTCAAGTACTGCTAACCTTAAAGCCTAAATTTCAAAAAGCATAAATATTACCTTTTTTCATTTAATTTAGTTGTTATATAGCATCTAATAGTATGACAAATCCCAAACTTTACTTCTATATATGCTACTTGTCCACATTATTAAATACTTTATTCAGATTCAAAAAAGTCTATCTTTTTGGAATTATCTTGGTTGCCAAGTAGTTATTATACTATCCACAGTATAGATGCAAATATTTGAAAAGTCAAAAGC